GTATGGTATGGTAATGTACAGTATGATATGGTATGGTAATGTATGGTAATGTATGGTATGGTAATGTACAGTATGATATGGTATGGTAATGTATGGTAATGTATAGTATGGTATGGTAATGTATGGTATGGTATGGTATGGTATGGTATGGTATGGTAATGTACGGTATGGTATGGTTATGGTAAGGTTTGGTATGGTATGGCATGATATGGTTCTATCTTTTGCCTAAATAAAAAAAATACAAAACATATTGAGCAAATCTTTTTAGACTTTTGGTGTGCTTACTTTAAAAAGGGAGTCTGTAACAAATATTTTGTTCCAACTTTTTAAAAATTATTTTTCAAATATTAAAAATAAATTAAATTGAAAAGTATTAATTTTAATACTGTCCATCTGCTGTTAACCGACAGCCCAATATTTCCACACGTTAACACCACCTGCTGATCAGAATCTGGTTCTTACTTTCTAAGGTCCCACACTCTGACAGAGTTCCCAGCAGCTGTGTATAGAACTGTTCCATTGGGGTTGAGAGCAATCTGGTTGATCTGGTTTTCTCCTGCAGGGATAGTGACCGTCCGACTGGTGGTAGATGCGCAGATGTCTCCAACATTTACCTGACCAGAAGACCTGAAGATACATAAAAGACACAACTTAAATAATCAAAATAAGAACTAAAATAACAATCTTAGCATCGTAGAGGACATACAATTTACTTATTTTGTAGAGATGCATTTCTTCTCAAAGTGGCACATCCAAACTCTTTAATTTCCATTATATCTGAGCTCATAATATTCTCTTCAAAAGTGAAAGTGAACATTTTTTTAAACTTGTCCTGCAACTGTCCCAATTACTTAATGTTCTAATTTTATTTTTGTAAATAAAGACAGAGAAACCTACAGTAATGGACATTTGCTGTATACAATGTGGTTCAACTTTCAAACTGCTTCTCAAAACTTCGAACATAGAGTTAGTTGGGCTCACGTTAACGTTTTGATGCACTTGGCAGAGTCCCTGATGTCCCAGACTTTGATGTAGGAGGTGGAGACAGTGAAGACTAAACTGGAGCTGTAGCGGACCGACACCACATTGTTAGGGTGACCGGCCAGGGACATTATCTCTTGACCCGTCACTAGATTCCAAACTTTACAGGTCCGATCTGAAGAAGACACACATCCACGTATCACAACAAGGAATATGCTGGTGGAAAGATGTCAGAGCTGTAATTGGATGGCATTATTATGCAGAAAGGATCAAAACACAAAGTGTGCTTGTAAAACACCAGCATTTAAAGATGAGCAACAGTAGGAATAAATAAGCCTTTCAATATTAACATGTAGCTCCATTTATAAAGCTGAAAAACCTCTTTACTCTAGAGAATTTTCTTGCATACATAATGTCACTTTGTTTCATTACCTCATTTATCCACACACTTTGAATATGACAGTCTTTATTAGTCCCTGTCAGGTTTTATTTGCTGGTATATAACAGCGTGTCAAGAAGTAATAAATTACTAGCACTGTAACAAGGGGACATGCACAGACTGCTAATTAGAGACGTAGGGGTTTGAATCAAGAGGTGAAAGATGTGGGGGCAGGGAGCGTGGATTGAAAATGTTTACCTTTGGATCCAGTGAACAGAAGGTCGTCGGTGCAGTCGACACATAAAACAGCTTTTCCGTGTCCCTCTGCCACATGAACACACTGTAACGATGCAGATCGGCTGCTCTTTGTGGATGGCACCGGATTAATAACGCCCCTGGGGGGAAAAAAAAGGTATACATCATGATTAAAAAGCAGAGAAGTGGACAGACTTCAGATTGATAATCTGAGTGCAGAACACAAACAACCCACGCCGACATGCACAATACTCAGTTCTTGTGGCCAAAAAAGTACAAAGCTGTGTCTCAAAATGTGAAAAACCAATAACTGTCCAAAGAAAATTGATAATAGGGGGTGTGAAAAGTCATCTTTTTGTGCTGAATAAATAATTTAAAAGCATCAATGAACAATGAGATTTATTTTGTTCTCAAAGACTAAAATATCTGAGACTCAGTTCACACCTACAAATAAAATCTGTCCATATCCATCACATTTTAACTGAATGGCTAAAAATGCAAAAACACAGAAAACATTTTCACTCTGGACCACTTTCATCACCACATTTAGTAGTCTGAACCTAATTTACACCGCCTGCGGCTCCGCTCCAGTATGAAGCACAGAAGTACTCAGAGAAGCAAGCACATATTGTGCAATAAATCCATTGATAAATGTGAAAGTCAGACCAAATGAATTTATTCTGTGGAAGAAGGACTGGAAACAACAGTTAAAGCTGCATCGCTTTTGCCTTTTTTAAAAATCCATATTTCAAAATAAAATGCACAAGTTTTCTGTGTCTCCATATAACATATGCTGAGATCTGCTTCCCAAACAATAAGATAAGTGTTGACAGCATTAAGGTATAAATATAACCATATATTTATTAATAAAGCTAGAATTTTGAAAAAATGTAGTCAGCCTTTGATGAATTATTTTTAAAATATGGATGTTGTGCTCATTCGTTTTCTTGTTGATGCAATGTGATCTTTGAAGATCGACTGCACTTGCTCTGCTATCCATCAAAAATAGGATCGAGCTTGTGAATATCATAAACTGGATATACAATATGGAAATATTGACATTTAAAATACGGCTCCAGAAGGAGAAAGGAGAGAGACTTTGGGGAAAATGGGTTTATTTTATAATCGGACAGACTCCTGGGAGCTTTTGTCTGTATTTATTTTGTGTAATTTGATACAGTGAAATGTCTGCAATGTAATGACCACCAGCATGTCTGGCTGCTACCTGTCCTAGCCCTCATGTTCTGAATGTATGTGTTGTTTGTATGTGATGTTTGAAAAAAAGACTAAAAATAAAGTAAAAAAAATAGGATCGAATCAAATGGCCGTGTGCACAGCGGTGTCCGCACGCAGTGTAAATTCCCTCACTGATTATAATGGAAGCATTTTTACTGCAGCAGTCGGAGTGGAACGGACACAGTGTAAATTGGGAGTGAGCCCCACTGTAGGAATTTAAACTGATGTGACAATGTCAGTTATTACGTGGTTGTCCCAGAATTACAAAATTAACAAAACTAGACTGACCACATTTCCTCACTCTGCTATTCTTTACTTGCTCTTCTCTACGTGTTTGTATTTGTGATTATTTCTATCATTAATGTAATTTTTTCCCCACAGAAGCTACACCTTCCTGCCCTCTTTAAGCCGAGCTGGTCGAGACAGATAGCTGCCTGTTGTAAGGATGGTTCTACTGGAGGTTACAAGTCGTCCTGTTAAAAAGGGACACGTTCCTTTCCACTGTCACCAATGCGCTGCTCGGGATGGGAAACTGTGACAAAGATTCAACGCAGTCTGCTGGCTTCTTTAGATAGATGACTTTTATGAGTTGCCATTTTATATTCATGTCAGTTTTCTTGCAGTGCTCTGAGACGACTTCTGTTATGAATTTGTGCTACAGAAATAAACTGAACTGAACTAAATGGGTTATGTTTAAGGAACTTCCAAAAAGAAGCAGTGCAGCAGTGAAGGGGGGCACTACATTCAGTTGTCCTTTTATGAATTAAGATTTTTTTTAATCACAAATAAAAAAATAAAGTAGTTGAGTTTTAATTTTTCTATATGACAGTATAAATGATTATATGAGGGTGGAATCCACAAGGTGACTGTGCTCATTTCTCAGTTGTACCCTGCACACCAAGTGTAGCTTCTTGAGAACTGATTAGCTACTGATTTCAACAACAACTACTGTGATTTTCTTAATGTTACATTATCATAATAAATTAAGTACAAAGAAACTTAAAGAGCAGATATTGAGGGGGGTCTGAACCCCTACTAGGCCAGAGTAAATGCTGCTGTTAGTGAGCAGTAAAAATAAAAAAACAATGCTTTTCTTGATGTATCTTAGGCTTTCCACGTTCTCATGTTCTTTCAGAAGGGTTCATTTTTCTTTGCCTTAATACGCAGAGCTAACTGGACTTTACAGGAAGACTGCAGAAAAAACGTTTGAGAAACATTTACATATATTACATATTCTGACTTCAGCAACATTAAAGTTAATGTACTCCTTGAAATCTGTATCATTTTTTTAACGTCAGGCAGAAAATATCTTAAAGGGCCAATATTATGTGTTTCTCAGGCATATATTTAAATACTATATCATAATAAAGTATCTATGTCACATTTAGCTGTTATTAAAATGCTGTTT